GGGGAGGAAGAGGCGGGAGGAGGAAGTGAAAGCACATTCCACAGTGTTGACGCAGCTGCAGGCTGAGGGCGGGGTGGGGGTCACTCCTGCCCAGGAAGGTCAGGACCTGCCCCCTGAGAGATAAGGTGGGTGAGGCCCGGAGATCCCCTCGGGCTCCTGAGTGCTTCACATTGGAAATGGAAATACTCCTGCTGACCGCTACCTCCCAAGGCTGGCGACCCCTGGGGTTCCCAGGCTCCTGCTGGGCAGTGGAGGGGGGGGGCAGGCAAGCCCTTCCTCTGGCCAGCTTGCTTCTGCTGCACTGTGCTGCCCAGGCCATGGGCCCTAGCAGGACTAGGGTCGGCACTAAGTTGGCCCCAGGCCCCCCCCCAACCCCCACAGTGGGGGGTCTTCAGGACTGAGGCCAAGCACCTCCCAGAATGGAGGAGGGGCCAGTCTGCACTGTCCCAGGGTCCTGGGTCCTCCCTCCCAGGGACAGCGCCTTTGGGACGCATCTGCACTTTGTTTACCATAATCCATACAGATGCCCTGCTGGCCGGCTCTGGTTCTGCATGTGGCTTGCAGAGAATGGATAAATGTCACCAGAACATTCTGGAAACTGGCCTTGTGCACCTATTCTTGTCAGAAACAACACCTGGTCATCCAGACATAGGCTGGGTGTTTGCTGTGTTTTAAATTCTCTGTCTTATCTAGCCTGTTTCATTTGTTCACTAATACTCGGGAACCAGGACATTCACTGTGATTGTGTGTGTGTGTGTGTGTGTGTGTGTGTGTGTCTGTCTGTCTGTCTGTCTGTCAGCAGTGTGACTAAGTACGGGAGCAAAACACTAAGATTCAGCACCTTTCCCTGACTTAGGGAACGAGGTTAGTTTCAGCGAAAAGCTGAGAACAGGAGAGTGCTTGCCCTTTGCTTCTCGACCACATGCCCTCCTGAGGACCCTCCACAGGCCCATCTGCCCGACAGCACTGCCCATCCCTACATCATCACCCCACAGCAGGATCCCGGGGAGTGAGACCCCTGCCAGCAGCCCTGCTCGGCCATTCTCCTCAGCAGTCCAACCCTCATTATCTATAGCATCTCCCAAACTCCTCCACAGCAACGATGCTTCTAGGGTCAGTGCAGGTGTTAGCATCCCGTCTCTCCCGGATTAGTTGGAGGCTACACATTTTTGGCAAGATGGCTGCTGGCGGGGCCCTCTTGTGACATGTGGGTCTGCTTGGAAATGTCTCTCAGCAGCTGGGTTCTGAGTCTGCGGAGGGCGCATCCCTGTCCCACTGCTGTGTATGCGGTTCCAGGGGCAATTACTGGGTGGCCAGGCCTCTTTGGGTGCACACTGCCAGCCACCCGTCCCGGGGCGCCAAGCCTCTCTCCAACGCGTCTACTCCTGGAGGTCTCTGTGCCTTGGGCCTATGCTGGGTCCCCTCTCTGTGGGATTCTGGCATGAGAAGGGTGCTGATCCTTGATGTGGGGCTCCTCCCTCCTTGGGCACATCTCAGGAGACTTGCCGGGTCCCAGCGTGTCCCCAACCACTCTCAGATCTGGGATGCAGCCCCCATCAGCCCACTCCTCCCTCTGCTACACTGAGATCAAAGGGCTTAGGATGGGCACTCCTGCCCCGCTCGGGTCTACAGGCGTCCTGCCGGGTTTTAAGTGAGGGTCTGGCTGGCACAGGTTCCCGGAGATCAAGGCGGGGTTGGGCAGGGCGGCTGGGCGGCTTCAGATTTCCCAGGTCATTGTTGAGCGTCTGCAGCTTCTGTAGCTCCGAATCAGCCCAAAGCTTCTTCCTTTGGCCTCCAGCCTGGCATGGTCCCACCCGATGTTTGCGAGCAGGTGTGGTTTTCACCCATGACCCAACCCTCTGTGGCAGCTCAGTATGGGCCAGCAGGGGCCATGTGGCTGTTTGTGACCCACTGAGCACCTCCGAAGCCCCTCTAAGCCTGCGTCCCTGGTGAAGGGGCAGGGGCTCTGCAGTTTTCTTGGGTGATGGTGGACAGTGGATAGCTCTTTCCACAGACCCCTGGGCTCCTGAGGGTGCCCCCGCACACTCCCAGGGCAGACAAGCAGGCTCGGGCAGCACCCAAGCCACGAAGGCTGTCAACCTCCGAGCGGCCATAGGATGCCAGGTAGCTGGGAGGTGCCACTGGTCCCTGCCAGCGCTGCAAACCCTGTCACGGGCTCACGGGGCAGCTTCTACATGTGCCGCAGATGGACATCACAGTCTGTGGGCCTGCACTGGACAGCCCAACCCAGGTCTGGCTCCTGCAAATCCCCCCATGTGCCCTTGCAGACCTTCACAAATGAGACACACAAGCGAGTCCAACTTGGTTTCTGTTGTGTATATTTAAAAGAAAACATACATTTTAATGGGGCTAAACCTCCCACCTACAAACCTTGCTGGCCTGCTGCTCTGGCCTTGGGTGGAAAGGCCCGATTATCCTTGCCCTGCGGCTGGGCGAGGGGAATAATGAGTGCTGGCATGGGTGCTCAGCGCGGCGGGCGGGGGTGGGAAAGCCGTGCTGGAAGAGGTGGTGTTTCGTCATGACAGACAAATTACTCTGAGATCCGCTCAGGCAGCCGTGGAGCCTGGCATGGGCACCCGGGCTGGGCCCCGCAGGGCTTCGGCATGCAGCCGGCACTGAGGCCCAGCCGCGGAGCTGCAGGTGTGTGACTGCCCTGTATGCGCAGTCAGGGAGGCTCCGGGAAGGGACCAGCAGAACACAGGGCCAAGGGGCAGAGGGCAGAGTAAGCCGGACAGGGATCAGGCAGGCAGGGGCTGCTTTACTGCCCGCTGACCACATCACCCTCCCTCTCCCGCCCAGGGCCACACCACCAGGGCCTGAGTAATCGGGCTATTATTAGAGCCTGTGGGCCAGTGGGTGTCTGTTCGCTCACCTGCTCCCTGGACTACTACCCTCTCTCCCCGCACCTGTCCCTGTAAATGGTGGCTGGTCCCCACATCCTGTCCCTACCAATCAAGGCTGGACCCTTTACTTGTCCCCCTAAATGGGGGCCAGTTCCCACACCTGTCCCCATAAATGGGGGCTGGTCCCCTCACCTGTCCCCATAGATGGAGGCTGGTCCCTTCACCTGTCCATGTCAATGGGGGCTGTTCCCCTCATCTGATCTCATAGATGGAGGCCAGTCCCCACACCCGTTCCCATGAATGGGGGCTGGCTCCTTCACCTGCCCCGCAAATGGGAGTCTGGGCTGGTCCCCTGTAAATGGTGGAGGTGGGGCCTGCCCTCTGGGTTCTGATTTACTCAGGGAAGGGAAGAGGGTTCAGTCCATGTCCCACTCCTGGGACGATCCCACAGTGGAAGTGGCATCCGTGGGGCTGCTGCAGAGGGGCGCGGGTACGGGAATGGGTCTGAGGGGACGGTGCACATGCTTGGCTTGGTGACAGCTGGTGAGGGTCCACTGCAGCCCCTGTGCCCCCCGCAGTGGGGCTGTAAGGACAGTGTCACTGCACGGAGCCCTCCTGGCCTATCTGCAGAGCCCCTGGCTCACGTTGGGCACGGGTCTGCAGGCCTGGCAACTGGGCGTGGGGTTCCGACTGGGGCTGCCCTGGGCTGCACTTTCACCTCCCACCCGCACTGCCACCTGGGGGGCCCTCCCCGCCAGAGGCCCTGTGGCTGGCCAGGCAGCACAGACTACAGGCCACGCCTCTGTGGCGAGGTATATTTAGCCTCATTATCAAATGTTTGCATTGAACCGTGTGAACCGCCTAATAGCGGCTGGAGTGAAACTCGATTCCCGGGCAGAGGGAGCACGTGACCACGTGCTGGGCAAGAGCGTCCAGCAGGGCAGGTGCACGCCCCCCACGCGGCCCTGCAGGGCCCGCCTCGTCCTGGTTCGCGGTGGGGGCAGGGGCAGCGGAGGGAGCCCCCCTCCCCCGAGTCTGCGCGGGGAGCAGCGGAGAACCAGCGGCAAGGGAGGCCGGGAAGCGGGGCTGCGGCTGTCCACGCAGGGGGGCGTGGCCCTGCCGCAGTCCGAGCTCCTCGTGGTCGCAGCCCTCTGAGTTCCTTCTCCCGCTACGCCGGGCGCTCGCGTCCGCCAGGGCGGGTCCGGCCGGGGCCACGGGGCAGGGCAGGGCCGCTGGCTCGCGCCTCCGGGCGGCCCGTGCCCCTCTCCCGGGGCGGCTGCCAGCCTCCCGTAGCCGCTGTTGTCTGGTCGCTATGACGACGTGCGCGGTTTTATTTTTAATAGCTGCGGGCGATTAGAAGGACGCCTGCGCCGCCCCCTCCGCCGGACGGGCGCCCGGCCTGCTCCGGCCGCGCCCGCGCCCACCGTGCCCCTCTCGGATCTGCCCGACGGTCCGCTGCCGGCAGCGAACTCGGGCCCGCGCCCCGGGGGTGCCCGCGCTGTCCCCGCGGTCAGCACCCGGTGGCCCGCGGGGCACGCGGGTTCCTCAGCCAGGAGGGGCGCCCTGGGTGCTCTCCGCCGCCCTCGGAGGCGCAGATCCCTCCGGCCACGGGCAGCCGGACCCGTGTTCGGCCCGAGCCTTCGAGAACCGTCGGTCCGGCGCGCTCCCTTTCACTGGATGCACGAGGGCAACCTCCCACGTGGTTCTCCACGTGCGTGTCCCGGAGCGCGCTGGACGGCGGGGTGGCTGCGTGGGGGCGCAGGTGTGCCCCCTGCCCTGGTCCCGCTACACCCAGAGCGGCGGGGGTGGGGTGGGGAGGGCCGGGCGCCCTGGGGGGACCGGCTTTGAAATGCCGGGGCCCGCCTCCCGGAGGATGAAAGACCGCCCGCGGGCTGCGCCTTTACTGCCTTTGTGCGGCGGGGGCGCGGGCCGAGGCACAGGAGGGGGCGGGCCACACTCCCGGCGGCCGCCCACCACCCACCTCCCGGGGGATCGCTCAGCTTCTAGCGCCTCTGCCGTCAGCTTCGGGGTCCCAGGCGCGCCGGGCCTCGGAGCGCGCGCGCGGGAGGGGCCGGGGCAGGGGCCGGGACCACCGGGGGAGTCGTCCCGACAGACGGAGGCGCGGGGGGCTTCCCCGCGCGCCCATCCCCTGGAGTTCCCGGCTCCGGCCGCCGCTCGGGCCTGCAGGCGGGGCAGCGGCGCGCTGCAGCCCCCGGGCCGGGCCTGGGCGCACTCCGGCACCTCGGAATGTGGGTGGGGACTCCTCTTTCAGGCGCCCCAGGCATCGGATTCTGGGCGGGGGCGCGTGGCGGCCGCCAGGTGAGTGCCCCAGACGCGCCCCTCGGCCCGAGACGCACTCCCCCTCCTTTTATGGCGCGGGGGAGGCCGGGCCCCGGCTCCAAACGTGGAAGGCGGCCGGGGCGGGGGCGGGGGCCGGCTCTCTTTTGCCCTTTTTGGCGTAGCCGCTCTGGGCGCTGCCCTCTGCCACCGCTGGGGCCCGGGAGAGGCGGGCGAGCCGGCGACGGCGGCGCTTCTGCGGCGGCCGCCTCCCCCACCCCGTCCGGTGCCGCAGGATTGCAGCTGGCACTGGAGGGTGGGCAAGCCCGCGGGAGGGGCGCGCGGGCGACCCCGGGGGCCGCGCTCGGGGCCCCGCGCGGGCCGTGGATGGACCCGAGTGCCCGCGGGAGCGCGTGTGTGTGCCCGCGGCGGCGGCGGCGGCCGGCCCCCGCGCGCTTCCGAGGTGCGGGGTCCCGGGCCCGGAATCCGGGGGCGGCGCGGGGGAGGGGGCGGGGGAGGGGCGCCGGCGGCGCCGCTATAACCCCCTCTGCACCGCCGGCCGGCCCCACAAGCGCGCCCCGCCGAGCCCGCACAACTCGGCGAGCCGGGCCTGCCCGCGCCGCCGCCGCCGCCGCCGCCGCCGCCGCCGGCGCGCCGCCTCCTCTCCCGGCGCCGGCGCGGCCCTGCGCCGTCCTCGGGCCCGTGCGGGCGGCGCGCGCGGCCCCTGCCAGGCGGCGCTGCCCGGCTCCGGCCGCCGGAGGGCGGAGCGCGAGCCCGAGCCCGGGGCGCGTCGCGGAGGGGCGCACGCAGGCCGCCGGGCCGCGCCGTGCTGGGCCGCGCCGCGTCCTGCCGGGCGGCGGCCGCCGGAGGAGGCCGGAGGCGAGCGCGGGCGGCGGCGGGCGCGCGGGGCCGGCGCTGCCCGCGGGGAGAGCGCGGCCGGGCGTCCGGACAGGTGATGGGCGGCGCGGCGGCGCGGCGGCGGCGGCGGCGGCCGCCCCGCTCCGGTGTCCCCCTCTGGGTCGACGCCCGCAAATATGCGGAATGACCGGCCGGGTCGCTCCCGGAGCCAGTGCCGGGGAGCGCGCGCGGCGGCGGCGGCCGGCACCGGGGACGCACCAAGGGAGAGGCCCAACCCCCGCCCTCCGCCCCTTCCGTCCCCACCCCCTACCCGGCGGCCCCGGAGCTCCCGGCGCGGCGGGCGGGCGGGCGCGCTCTCCCCGCTCCTCCTCCCGCCGGCCGGCGCGGCCGCTCCCCGCGCTCGCGCCCCGCGCCCCCCCGCGCGCCCTGAGGCATGCTCCTGCCTTTCGCCGCCACAGGAGCCCGGCTGCAGCGCCCGCCCCGCGGCCTCGCCTCCCCGCCGAGCCGCCAGCGCCCCGGGACGCGATGAGGACGTGGGCTTGCCTGCTGCTCCTCGGCTGCGGATACCTCGCCCATGCCCTGGCCGAGGTGGGTGCACCCCCGAGCCGGCCCCGCGGGGCTCGCCCGGCGCGCGCCGGCCCGGGCACTCCGCGGGCGCCTTTAGCTTGCGGCGGGCGGTGGTTTGCGTCTGTAGCAAACGTTCCGACCCAGTTCTATTTTCTGCCATGCCTAAGTGCCTGGTGAGTTTCCAGCGCGTTGCGTCGCCGCCGAGGAGGGACGGGGCGCTGCGGGGCGCGCGAGCGGGGAGAAAGTTCGGGGGGCGCGGGCTCGAGTGGGGAGGGAAGACGGGGCGCGGCGGGCAGGGCGGCCCCGGGGCGCGGGGAACCCGGGGAAGGGGGTGTGTGTGCGCGCGGCGGGGCGCGCGGGGCTGCGGCAAACGGCAAGGGCGGCGGCCTCGGGCCCCCGCGCGGGGTGGGCAGGCGGGGCGCGGCCTCCTGGCCCCGGGGCCCCGGCGCCCCGGCGCCCCGGCGCGGGCCGCTTACAGGTGGCCGCCGGGCGCACCCCGCTGGACGTACTCCCGCCGCGGGCCTCCCTCCCTCACCCCGTCCCTAACCCCGGCCCGGGAGTTGTGTGCGCGCGCGGCCCCCGTCGTGGGAACTTGGTGCCCGGGACCCCCCGGCGACCCCGCTCTCCCTTTGGGAATCGGGGAGGAGCGGGGGAGGCGCGGGCGGGGGTGGTCCGGGCCGGGATTCGGCGCCGCCGGCGGGGGAGGGTTAACCCCGTCCTGCCCTGCCGCGGCGCGCTAGCCGGGAGGCCCCCCGGGGCCGGCGGGGTGGGGCGGGCGCGGGCCGCGGAGACCCTGCGCCCCCCGCGGGGCCCGGGATGCAGGCTGTGAAATTCAAGCCCGGGCGGGATTAGAGTGTCAGGGCTGCGTGACCGTCCTCGTCGGCCCGTGACGCATTTCATCCTGCTCTCTCTGGAGGTGGACGTCGTTAGTAGACCGCGACCCCGGGGGGGCCCCCAGACCCGTCCCGACGCCGGGGGCGGGGCGGGGGCACCGGGGCGCAGCGGGGTCCTGGTCCCCGGCCCTTGCCCGGCCGGGGGCGCTGACCACGCGCTCTGCCCGCAGGAGGCCGAGATCCCCCGCGAGCTGATCCAGCGGCTGGCGCAGAGTCAGATCCACAGCATCCGGGACCTGCAGCGGCTCCTGGACGTAGACTCCGTAGGTAAATCGCGCCCCTTCCCGAGCGCGGGCGGGCGCGTCCGCGGGGTGGCCGGCGCCCCGAGGAGCGCCCCGAAAGGTCAGAATCCACTCCCGGGCCATAAAAGCGCCAGCGGATGAGTCAGGAGTTTCTCCCCCAATCACCACTTTCTCTCCTTCGCCCCGGGATTGTTGTTGCATTTAAGGAAAAAGGCGGCGTGTGTGTCTCCAAGAAAGTTCAGGCGCGTCCAGGGCGCCTGCGCCCGGCCCCGGCCCGGTGTGCTGGCGCCCCGGGGTCCGGCCTGCGCGGCCCCTGCCCGAGCCCGCCCCTGGGGGAGCAGAGTTTGCAGGCTCCTGCGTCAAGGGTCAAGGCTGGTGGTCGACCGGTCAGGCCGTGGGAGTGGGTTCCTGGGCAGCGGCGGCCTCCCGCGGATGTCGGAGGGAACTCTTTTTGGTACCTTGGCGCGTTTTTCCGGGGATGGGGGTGAGGGTCACCCGGGGAGGTTGACCTCGCCTGTCCCTGCTGCCTCAGAAGACCCCTGAGCACCCCCCTCCCCAACCTGTCCTGGCTGCGAGGTCAGTGCGAGGTGCGGGAAGGGAGATCCTCCCGCTGCAGAAGGGCAGGGGGTGGGGAGGTAAGGAAAATCACATGCTCCAGTCATTTGGAAATTTGTACCTAATTATGGTGGTGGGGAGGTCTGAGCTATTCTCACATCATGCCAAAGCCTTTCTAGAAAGGCCCGTGGTTTCTGTCCACGGCTCTGACCCAGGAAATCCTTCAGCTGATGCTTATCTGGAAGGGGATAGAATTTCACTGGAGATTAATGTCAGGCTGTGTGAGACTGTGTGTGTGTGTGTGTGTGTGTGTGTGTGTGTGTGTGTGTGTGGGCGCGCGTGCACATGGGATTCTGTGTGATTGTGCGTGGGGGGGAGTGTGTGAGACTTTGGGGGGGTGTACTTTGTGTATGGCTGTGTATGTGAGATGGGTGTGACTTTGTGACTGTGTGACTGTGTGTGAGACTGGGTGCGACTGACTGTATGTGACGGTGTGACTTTGTGTGGTACTGAGGTGTGACTGTCTGGGACTGGGGTGTGGCTTTGTGTGTGTGTGTGTGTATGTGTGTGTATATGAGACTGTGGGGGCGTGACTCTATATATATATGAGACTGGGGTGTGACTATGTGTGTGTGAGACTGGAGGCGTGACTTTGAGAGTGGGGTGTGACTTTGAGGTGGGATGTGAGACTGTGTGTGTGTGTGTGTGTCTCTGTGTGTGGCTTTGGATCTGTTCCCTGGCGAGTAGCCCTGGGGGAAGGATTTGGCTGTGGCTGTTTGGAAGCCCTTGCCTGGTGCTGGTGGTCCCTGAAGGTGCAGAGGGCCCCTCTCCTGCCTCCCTTCTAGTCCCCTTCCTGCTGGCCCATTCTTATTCCTCCCTGTCCCCTCCCCCACCCAGTGAGTTGCCCTGAGGTGGTTCTGAGGCATTCACGTGGCCTGGGGGCTTCAGGGAAAGAGTCTGTCCCCAGTCCCTCTATGTGGGCCAGCCCAGCTCCCTGTCTTGAGTTTGGGGCCTTCAGGTCTTTCTTGGGGGGGGGGGCAGCTCCTTCCTCAGTCTGAATCAGGGTCTTTTCCCAAGTCCTGGCCCCCTCAATGAAGAGTGTGGGCAGAAGATTGGGGTTTCCTTCTCTGAGCTCTGGGGAGACCCCCCCCCCCCCGCCGTGTTCTCTGGAGTCATCGGGGAGCCCTTCTAGGTTTAGGTTGGGGTCATGTTTATGGGTTTCGGGTCACACCTGCCCATGCTCAGAGGCTCTTCCCAGCCCTGTCATCCTGGCTGGTGGCATGTGGCACTGGGGATGGAGCCCATACCTCCGGTGTCCGGCGTGTCCCTGGCCTCTGTGGATGCATGGATGTGGGGGTCCCTAGAGGTGGGACCCTGAGGCTGTGGGGCCATCACCTGGGAGGGTGGCTCCACTCCCCACCTGCCTGAAAGCCCTGCTTATCCCGCACAAGAGCCACAGGCTGCTGTTTGGGTTGACCGGTGGCGTGGGGCTGGTCCCACTGGCCCGTGACCGATGGGCCTGGGCTTGGGGCTTTGTCCTCATGCGCAGCTGAGGAGGCTGGCTGGCAGGGAGCAGAGTGGCCGGAGCAAGTGGAGCGGGTGCTATAAGCGGGCAAAGGGTGCCCAAGAGGCTCCTGCTGCGCCAGTGACCACTGCTGTTCTGGGAGGCCACCTCGGTGTGTGGACATGTGGATAGGTGTGAGCTGCCACATAGTGGGGGCAAGTGGGAAGGCGGTGCCAGGCCCCACACTCCTCCCCTGCCCTGGGGGCCCCTCAGCGAATCCCGACAGAAGGCTGGCAGCATGTGGCGTGATTCAGGATCGTCACTTTTCTGGGAAAAAAAGCTCCCAGAGCAGCCGGCTCTGGGAAGTTCCTGCTGCATGAGCGCTTCTGTTCCGAGCTCATTTTGGGTCTCAGCGGAAAGGGACATGGCGCCCCAGGAGTGGAGCAGGACACAGCCCACGCGGCGGCCCTGCGTGCTGCCAAGCCTGCAGGGCAGTGAAGGCCACGCGGGCTTTTGGGAGTGGGGCAGGGCCAGGCTGGCCGGTGCTACCTGGGCAGGAGCAGGGTGGGACCACACGTGACCTTCCCATCGGGTGAAACCATGCCCTTGCGTGAGGCTGATGCAGGTGGCACCAGTGTCCCCCTACACCCTCAAGACCGGCCTGTGTTGGGCGGTGGGGAAGGAGAAGGATGTGGCTGGTGGGGTACAGGCCCTTTCTCCATGTCTCTGCACCCCACGCAAGCCTCTGTGTGGGCTCCAGGCCTAGCCCAGCACATGGAGTGTCAGTTCAGGGGTCAGTGAGGGCAACAGCTCCTGTCCAGTCTTGCCAGGTTCTCTGAGGGGAAGGGCTTGTGAAGGGTCCTGGGCGGCCACCTGTGAGGGGGATCCTCTTGGGAGGGGCCTGTGAGGGGGATCCTCTGGAGGGGCCTGTGAGGGGTCCTAAAGGGGTCCTGTGATGGGGAAATCCTCTAAGTGAAGGTCCTGTGAGAGGTCTTCAGGGGGCTTTTGTGAGGGTTTCTGAGGAGGTCCTGTGAAGGGGGTCTTTTTTTTTTTTTTGTCACACTTGGCATTGCACAGGGGTTATTCCTGGCTCTGCACTCAGGAATCACTCCTGGTGGTGCTCAGGGGACCATATGGGATGCTGGGAATTGAACCTGGGTCGGCCGCGTGCAAGGCAAACGCCCTACCCGCTGTGCTATTGCTCCAGCCCCAAAGGGGTATTTTAAGGCAGGGTCCTGGAGCGGGGATCCTGTGAGGAGAGGGTGTTCTGAGGGAGGGTTCTCAGGTTTTTTTTGTGTGTGTGTGGGGGGCATCCCTGTGGAGTCCCGGGGGCTCCTGTAAGAGGGCCTGGGGTGTCCCCACGGGCTTCCTCTTGGGACCCTCTGGACTGGGTTCTGAGTGGGGTGGGGGTGGGGGCGGGCCTTCTGCAGCCTCTTCACAGGTGTGGGAGGTGAGCCTGAGCCACTTGTTCGGGGGCTTCGCATGGGCTTGCAGACCGAGTGGGTTCTTGGCAATGATGTGTTTCCTCCTCAGCACACCTGGAGCCTTGTGTGAGTGTGGGGTCTCCTGGGCCCCTCCGCCTGGGGGCGGCTGAGCTGTGGCTCTTGAGTCTGGCGTGGGGAGGGTGGGCCGTGGGCTGCCATGTCTTCCCTTCTCGCCACAGGGGCCAAGGATGGTCTGGAGGCCCACGTGAGCATTCCGCGGGGCCATGTGGCCCAGGACGCCCCTGAGAAGCGGCCAGTGCCTGTCCGGAGGAAGAGAAGCATCGGTGAGGTCTGCGGCAGGTCGGAGCGGGAGCCTCGGGGAACCCTCGCGCCCCTAACTCCCGAGACAAAGGGCAGCCTGCTGGGGCCTGGCCCCTTGCTGGGCTGTCTGGCAGGGCCGCCCCGCGCCCCACTGCAGGCTGAGGCCTTTCCAGGAGCTGCAGCGTCATAAATTCCTCAGCGCCTGTCTTGTTGGGGCCTGTTCTCTGAGGCCTTCCTGGGAAGCGTGGTGCGAGTTTCCAATCTGTCATGCGGGGCCCCCTGTGCCTGGCGGGAGGTGGGATTGGGCGCAGCTGTCTGTCCCTGCCGTGCCCCGTGGTCCGCTGGGCTGGCGTGGGCACGGACCCCCTCGGTCCTTCTGTGGTCCCTGTGTCTGCTCCTGGAGGGCTGGGCAGGGGCTCCCCTGCTGTATCTGGTACCCTCTGGAGGGCTTTGGCACTGGTACGGGATGTTTGGGGAGGCCAGAGCACTGTGCCCTCTGCTGTGGAGCCCCTCAGGACATGCTGAGAAGGGGCATCCCTGCTGCTCCCCTCAGCTGAGACCATGCCTCTTCGTGCATGCAGGATGCTTCCCCGTCCCCCCCAGAGCAGCCCTGAGCTCCAGGCCCCTTGGGGCAGCCTTCTCAACCCTGGGGTCCAGCCCACACCCTCCCTCCAGCCCTGCTGGCCTCTTGTCCTGCTGCTCCGTGTCCTGACATCCTGTGAGCAGGAGGTTTTCCTGGCACCCCCATTCCAGGCCACTCGGTGTCTCCCCCCCACCCCGAGGGACTGCACCTGTGGGGGTCACCCGGGAGTCTCGCTGCTTGCCCTGGGGATGGGGCAGCGTGATATGGGGGTATGGTGGGGGTTGGACCTGCACCCACTGGCTGTCCTCCGCAGAGGAGGCTGTCCCTGCTGTCTGCAAGACCAGGACGGTCATCTACGAGATACCTCGGAGCCAGGTGGACCCCACGTCTGCCAACTTCCTGATCTGGCCGCCGTGCGTGGAGGTGAGGCGCTGTACCGGCTGCTGTAACGCCAGCAGTGTCCGCTGTCAGCCGTCACGCATACAACAGCGCAGCGTCAAGGTGAGTGGCCCGTCACCCCCACGACCCCCGCCCCGTGCCTAGCCCTCAGGCCTTGTTCTGTGCTCTGCAAGGGAACCCCGGGGGGGACCCAGGACCAGGCACTGGCTGCCCAGCCTGGAGGCAGCTGGGAGGCCCCGGGCCTCCTTCCCTGAAAGAGTGGGTTGCGGGTCTGGGACTCCCCCTGCGTCTCAGCAGGTGTGGGCGCGTGGGACGCTCATGCCCTTCCCCCGCCTCCCGTCAGGGCCTGGGGGCAGCTGGGGGCTCTCATCCTCTGCAGTGTGGCTGAGCCTAGAGCCTTGGGGTCCTGGGAGCCCTGGGGTCCCGTGAGCCGGGCGGCCCCTCCTGGGCGGGGTGCCCTTGTGCACAGCCCTCTGTGGGTACTCGGCGCCGACAGCCACTTCACCAGAGACGGCACTTTAGACCCAGAACTGCCCGCTCCCCTCTGAGTAAGCAAATTCCATGCCACTCGCCGCTGGCCCAGACAGACACTCCCCGGGGACATGAGGCATCCTGTGTCTGTCTCAGCTGCCCCGGGAGGGCTCCTTGCCCCGGCCCTGCTCACCTCTATTGCAATGTCCTGTACCGCTGCTTGTTCCGTCCTCTCTCAGGGTCTCATGGACCCCACGAATCTGGGCTGAGCTCCCTGTAGGGCCTCTGTGGGATGGTACCATGTTCAGGCCCCAGCATAGGAGTCTGTCCCATGCTCCCCCTCCTCTGTCCTTGGGTTTTTGTGGAGGGGTGGTCCGCTGTACTGGCCCTTAGACCCTGTGTTCCACAGCTTCTTGGCAGGATTTAGATATTGAGGTGCTGACCAGGGAGAAAAGCTTGATGCAGACAGAAGGTCCCTCATGGCTTGAGCAGGGTCTGGGCTGGCCACGGTGTCCCCGTGTTGGGGCTTAGGCTGGGGGTCCATGTGGTCCCTGTGGTCTGACAGGCTGTGTCCACTCAGTCTGTCCCCAGTGTCTGACCCATGGGGCCAGGGCAGTCATAACCTGATGCTGTCCAGTGCCTCTGCCCCCACCCCCCCCATCCCTGTGCCCTCAACTCAGGCTCAGAGGGACTGCGGTCCCTGCCATGCGGTTGGCACAGTTGACAGTACAGGGGCCAGGCCCTGGCAGGTCCTGGGCAGCCAGATGGAGGTCTCGGCCCTACTTGCGGTCCCACTGGGGCCTGCCCCGTGGAGCCAGGAGAGGTCAGCTCCATGTGTGGTCCAGCATGTGTCTGGGGCTCCAGGTGATATGCGAGGCCCAAGGTACAGACGTCTCCATTCCTGGGCTTGGCTGGCCAGGTGGGAGGCCCCTTGGGCCGAGCTGGCACCTCCTGGCCAGACAGCAGGTGTGGCCTCACTGGGCTGTCACTGTTCCCCATGTCCTCTGGAAAGTGTGGGAAACCGGTGAGTGTGGACGCCTGAAGGGAAATGGCCATCAGGCCCACGCAGGGCTGCCCTCTCCCCATCCTCTGTCTCGGCGGCCCCAGCTGCTCTGCAGGAACTAGGTGGGGTGCTTGTTGACCAAGGAGGCTGTGCCGTCCAGCCCTTGCCCAGAGAACAGCCGCCCTGCGGGGCCTGGGGAGGGGAGAGGTGGCCAGTGTTCCCCCAGACCCATGGCCAGGTTGGGCTCTCAGCACTGAGCAGGCAGATGCCCCCACCCAACTGCCCGGGGTGGCCTCCACTGCCGGCCGTGGCTCTCCTGCGTTGTAGCCCAAAGGTTGAAGCTTCCCGCACGGGCGCCGCCTCACCTCACAGCCCTGGTTAAGCATTAACCGCCCTCGGCCTGCCACCCCACTCGGGCCCCAGCACCCACTGCTGTCCTCTCAGGAGGGGTCAGTCCTGGTGTCCTCCCTCTCTGGGACCACGAGGGGCATGTGGCGTCCCAGGGCCATTCTGGGTATGGGTCCGTGGGCTTGGCGGGGACAGTCAGGGACCTGGTATCATGGCCCAGAGGGTCCTCTGGGTTGGGGTGGGGCAGGGCTTCCCTTTCATCTTTCTTGCGGGCTGCCTGGGCACTGCACTTGCCTGGGTTTCAGCTGGCGTGGGGTGGGAAAGGACTGCAGGGCCGGGGTCAGGCCTGGTGTCCCCGCTCGTGGGACCTTGCACACAGCCCCGTGGGTGTGTCTCTGTCCCAGGTGGGCCGGTGGCTTAGAGGAGCTGGTGAGAGTAACAGGCCCCCCTGGCCTCTTCGGCCATGCCTGCGGGGCTGGGTGCCGTGTCTCCCACCTGAGGTGTCTGCAGGAATGTGTTCACATGTGTGTGTGGTACACAAAATCACACCTGTGTGTATGCATGTGTGTCTGGATGTCAGTGTGTGTTTCTGTGTCCATGTCTCAGTGTATATGTGTATAGGTGTGTCTTGTCTGTGTGCCCTTGTCGTGTGATTGTGTGTAGGTGTATCCACGTGTCTGTCTCTTCTCTCTTCTGTGTCCATGTGTAGTTGTGTGCCTTTGTCGTGTGTATTTGTAGTTGTGTATACCATCGTATCTCTGTGTCTCTGTGCATAGATGCATCCATGTGCAGGATGGCAGGGGTGCCCAGGACAGGTGTCCTGGTGTTAGGGGATTGAGGTTGGCACTTGGGGCTCTTGGTTTGACTGCCTGCCCTCAAGCCCTGGGGTCTATCCTGGCCTGTATCCCGGGGGATGTGGGCACCTTTTGCTCTGCTCCTACTCCTGGCTGAGGTGCGGGGGCCATGGTTGTGGCCATCTCAGGGAGGGGCACCCTGTGGTCCTTGCTGCCATGTGACTGGGACCCTGGGCAGGTCTGGGTGTGAGTTGTGGCGGGAACCCCAGTGTGTGTGGAGGCGCCTCGCCCCTGGCGGGTCCCTGCTGCCCTCTGTTCCCCCGCACAGGGTAGTGAGGGGCGTGTGCGCCTGTGTCCATCCCAGGGGGGTGCTCAGAGGCTGTTCCGGCCCTGCAGGTGGCCAAAGTGGAATACATCCGCAAGCGGCCCAAGCTGCGGGAGGTGCAGGTGCGGCTGGAGGAGCACCTGGAGTGCAGCTGCAGCAGTGCCAGCGCCGACTACCGGGAGGAAGAGGCAGGTGAGCGCCCGCACCCTGGACTTGGGGGATGGCCGGGAAACGCAGCCTCCATGCCAGCGCCCAGCCCAGGCTGCCGTGCCGGATCCCAGTACCCAGCGCAGCCCAGCCCAGCCCCCCATGCCGAGCCCCTGTGTCCAGCCCCGCACGCCCTGCCACTAGCCTGCTATGCCAGCCCCCCCCCCGCCCAGGTGTCCAGCTGGTGTCCAGCTCCTTGTGCCCCTGTTGTCCCTGGTGTCCAGTTCCTTGTGCCAGCCCCAGTGCCCACTCCCTGGCACCCAAGTCCCCCTTGGCACACCTCTGTGCCCGGCCCTCCATGCCCAGTCGCCTGCAGGCAGGAGGGGACAGGCTGGTCTGGCCTGAGCTGAGCTCCTTTCTGAGAAGGTCGTGTTGCTCACCCTCGCCGCCCTTCTGTTAACAGGAAGGCGTAGGGAGTCAGGTAAAAAGCGGAAAAGAAAAAGGTTAAAGCCGTCCTAAGGCGCCTCCCAGGTAGGACGGGGCGGGCAGTGACCGGCTGTCACCAATCATTCCCTGGCTGGGCGGGCACTGGCTGATCAACCGTCAATCACTCCGTACCTGGGCGGGCGCTGGCTGATGATCCGCCAATCACTCTGTACCTGGTGCAGGTAGATCCTGATTAGCCTGCTCGTCAGAGGGGTCTCCTGACTCCTGGATTCCCCTGCTTGCTTTGGCCTCTGATTGCACCCCTGATGGGATGGGAGTGGTATGGGTTTATGGAGCTGTAGCTGGAACCAACCCCCTTGCACAGGTTGTCCATTTGAGAGGGGGGAAAAAATGGGTGACAGACAGCAGGTAAGGTGGGGTGAGCAGAATGCTGTCTGAAAATACTTCCAAATCCTTAGGTTTTTGACTAGTATCCTGGAACTTGTGTTAAATTTTAGTAATGTTCCAGAAAAAAAGTTTTAAGGTATCAGGGACCCCCCCTCCTATCCAGGTCTGGTGGTCTCCATCTTTAGAATTGCCTCTTAGCCCAGGGTGGCTGCGAAAGCTCCGGCCATCACATCTGTGCTCTGTGCCGAGAGAAAGTAATGTTGAAAGAAGGGCCAAAGTACTCCCCGGGGGGGAAGTCCCTATAGCTACTTGATCTGATATCATTGGCCTTCCCTCTGCTGCATGGGGTGTGAAGGCTTTCTAGAGGGGCCTGCTAACTGCCTACAAGGAAGTGGGTCTTGGGCCACTGCTAGGAAACAGTTTCATCAGGAAAACAGTTTCAGGCCCGCCTGGCCCTGGCTCGTGGGCACGTTGCAGCCAGAGCTCCCCACTCAGCCTGTGGGACTGTAGGGGGTCTCACAGCCACCCCACACGGCTCTGCTGTCTGCAGAGTGGGCTGTGAGCACGCTGAGGACAAGCCCCGCAGGAGAGGCGCCCAGTTCCAGCCATGGAGGACGACTGGGCCCTGGGCCAGGGTAGAACACTGGGTCCGCAGCTCGCCCCACAGTCTTGCCCATGGTCCATGAGATCTGCAGTCTCGTCATGGAGGCGACACGTGGCGTGGCTCAAGGGGAGCTGCGTGTCCCGCGTGCATGCATGTGCCCCCGGCCCCGCCTCACACTGTCTCTCCCCGCAGATGTGAGGTGAGGATGGCCCAGCAGCTCTTTCCCGGGACACGGATGTACACGGCGTGTTACATTCCTGAACCTCCAGCGGACAGTGCTCACTGCACGGCGCGCTTTGTTCTCCTGTGAAAACTGTCCCAGCGAGTCCCCTGGGGGAACAAAGAACAGTGCTCATTTGTTGGTGGGACATCAGAGTGGGCATTGTGGTGCCCGGCGGAACAGTGAGAGGCTTCCTTGTCAAAAGCACGAGTGAGCGCAAACAAAACTGAGTCACAGAACAGCTCAGCGGCTGCGGACAAGGCACGGCCGGCTGAGGGGCGGAGGCGGCGGCGGCAGCAGCAGCTCCGCGGGCTGGACACGCATCCAGGGCGGCCAGAGGTGCTTTTGCCAAGGATGTGGGGCTGCTTCTCCGATGGACGACACAGGTGGACAGACAGATGGACGGACGGACAGACGGACGGATGGATGAATGGATGGATGGATGGACGGACGGACGGCGCCCAGGGCCCGCCAGACCAGGTCGAGCTGCGCCGTGTACACAGAGCCCTTCCTGAGAGCCTTAAGTGGATTTTTTTTACACCATAAAGTGATTATTAAGCTTTCCTTTTTACTCTTTGCCTAGCTTTTTTTCTTTTTTCCTTTTTTTACAAAATTCTCTCTCGGATGACATTCACACCAATAACACGAGGCCGCCGTGGGGCAGCGGGATGCGTCTCTCCTGGCAGGACACAGACGAATGAGATGTATTCGAATAAACGTGGCATACCCAGCTATGCACCACTTCCCGAATGTTTCCGCCTCTCTGTCTCGCCCTCGGGCCCTGCCATCCCGGAAAGCCCACCTGCCACCTGTGGTCACTCCCTGCTACCGCCACGTTTGGACAGAACTAAATTCTTTGATCTTTTGGTAACATGTTCTACGTTACGTGTACTCCATGGAATTGTGTGTGTTGTTGTTTTGTTTTGTAAAGGTGAATTTGTATTTTTATCTAATATTACCAGTTTTATATACCTGAGAACCCAAAATGTTTCTTTTTGGTTTTTTTTTCCTGCCCACTGTGGGAGGGGTGTGGGCTCTGTGTCTGTTGCTGTTGCTTCAGTTCCCACAGCCTGTGACTCCCAGCGCTTGGGTCGCCCTACCCAGTGGACCTGCAGGCCATCCCTGGGGTCCCGGGAGCTTCCAGGAGTGGCCGGTGAGGGCCATCTGCTGGGGCAGCTGCCGTGCAGATGAGGAAGAGTTTCCTAAGTTCACGAGTCCATGCAGCTCATGCATCATCTCTTCCATCTCCAGGCTCCTGGGCCCGGGACCCTTTTGTGTCCATGGGTGGAGGCCGTTTCCTGGTGTTTGTGGGTCTGAGAAAGCACGATGTGGAAGTGTCTGTGGCAGGCACGTCTGGCCCAGCAGTGAGCTGGGCCAGGCAGTGTGCTGCGCGTGAATAAATGCTGGACGTGCAGCCGTCCGTGTCTGTATCTTGTCTCTCAGTGGGCAGTGCCATCTGCCTGGTGGATCTATCCTGAGGGTGTCTTTCTGTCCCGGTGCTTAAGACTGGAGCCCATGGCCCAGAGGAGAGTCAAAGCCACTGGCGCATCCCTGCTCTGGGCCTGGGAGTGGCTTGGGTGCAGGCTGGCTTGTGGCCCCTTTTGTGCCCTCTGGGCCCTATGGGTAGTTCTGCAGAATCATGGGTGGCACGGGCTGCTTAGGGATGGAGTGAAAACCGAGAACGAAGTCTGCGCCTTGGATTCTTGTGAGAGAGAGAGAGATTCTTACATTTAAAAGGCACATTGAGGGGCTGGAGCAATAGCACAGTGGGTAGGGTGTTTGCACACAGCTGACCCGGGTTCGATTCCCAGCATCCCATATGGTCCCCCCAGAGCACCGCTAGGAGTAATTCCTGAGTGCATGAGCCAGGAGTAACCCCTGTGCAATGCCAAGTGTGACCCAAAAAGCAAAAATAAGGCACATTGAGGGGCCAGAGAGACAGCACAGTGGGTGGGGCACTTGCCTTGTATGCGGCCCATCTGGGTTTGATCCCTGGCACCCCTTTTGGTCCTCTGAGCCCTCCAGGAGTCAGGTTTGAGCACCGCTGGGGGTGGCCCAACCTCGCCCGCCCCCAAAAAAGGGACATGATTTAATTGAACTTGACACCTGGCCTTGGACTCCCACATAACTCCCCTGTGACCTTGGGTGCCCCCACCCCATGAGTTTGGGGGTAGTGTCCTAGCAATGCTTGGTGGCAGGTCCCCAACAGTGGCTCAGAGAGGCGAGGGCCCCAGGTGATCGCTTCAGTTGGCTTGGCTCCTTTTTAAAGTTGTTTGTTTTGGGGCGTCACCCAGTGGTGCTCAGGACGGAGCTCAGGGAACCATCATGCCAGGGACAGAAGCCAGGTCAGTTGTGTGTCAGCATCTCGGCTCCTGTGCTCCCTCTCTGGGGTCGCCTGGGTGCTTATGGCCATGGGACAGCAGGCTGGTGGCCCCGTTAAGGAGACACTGGCATGCGGGCATGTGGTGACACCCCCCACCCCCCCAGCTGTCTGAGACACAGGGATGGATTCAAAGTCTTTGAGTCTGCGGAAGAGAATGGTGACCACTGCCACCAGGCAGTCACACACACAAACTGCGGCCCTGCCTGCTCCCATGTATGTTGCGGCAGACAGACCTGAGCAGGCTCCTCTGCCCACTGCTCGCTTCCCGTGGCCTTTCCTGGCCCTTGCCTCTGCACAGCTGTCCCCTCGCCACACATACACCTCCGGGCCTGTCCAGTGTGGTACCCCCTGCCCTATGCACAGGACAGACAGGTGCCTCTGCCCGGACAACTGCGCCCCCACCTCCTCCTGGGCTGGTCCTGGGGCTTGGATCTGGGCGGCCTGACTGATGAGTGTATAGTGTGTTAACTGTGTGTTGTGTGTGCATCTATGTGTGTTGTCCTGTGTGTGTGTGTAGGCATGTACGTGCTCATGCATGTGTGTACTGTGCTGTCACAGGCATGCTCCCGTGTGTGTTGCGTGTGGTGTGCATGTGCACGCGTGTGTGTATGTGTGTGCAGGGGTCACTGTCCCTGGGGTGATCCCTGCTTTCAGTGGGGGGGCTGTTACCTTGTTCCTTTGCTGTTCCTGTCACCTGAGCATTCGTCCCTGTTTTCGGGCCCAGAGGTCGGGGCAGAGTCACCTGCCCCTCCCTCCTTCTGCTGCTCATCTAGGGGCCCAGGACTCATTTCAGCCCTTCTCTGTGTGTTGAGAATGTCTGTGGTAGTGAAGGGTCTGTCAGAGCGTCTGCATTGGGGAAGGGCCCCTGGAGGGTTGTGGGGGGAAGGGCTCCTGGGGGACTGTGGGGGGACGGGTCCCTGGTGCTGTGGGGGGAAGGGGTGCGCAGAGCTTTTCCCACCTTTTTAGTGGGGATGATCCAGGGATGGGGGCTCATCACTATACTGGCCCCTCACGGGTCCTGGGCTGGCCCCCAGTGTGTCCAGGCGACTGTTGCTTCTGTGCACATGGAGGAGTTTCACAGCACCTGGTCAGAAGAGTGAGCCTGGGGTCTCAGGCAATGATGTTTGTTTGGTGTCTTAGAAATCCCCCCGATGCCCTGTCTCTGTGTCCCCCCCTCCCCTTCCCGTGTCTGTCTCTCCCCTATCCCCGTGTCTGTCCCATATTCCCATGTCTGTCTGTCCCCCCCATCCCTGTGTCTGTCTGTCCCCCCGTCCCCATCACTCTGCTCGGTCATGTGGAAACCTGATTTTTGCTGCCTGTGCATGGACTGTCCTGCTGCTGCCCTGGTTGACACACGGCGCCCTGCTGGCCCCGGTCCCCCTGGCCCCTGTCCACTCTCACCCCACTGTCCCGTCTCGCCCTCCTTTTGATGGCCTGTGGCTGCAGAGCAGAGATTGGGTGGAACACGTGCCCAGAGTGGCCTCCATGCCTCGCAGGACACACATGTCCTGTGCCCAGGTGCCCATCTCGGACTGAGGTGCTGGAGCACGGGGCCAGACACACCCACCCCCAGCCCCAGCTCCCAAAGCCCAGCCCAGAGCTCCTCACACATCCCAGAATTCTGACATTTCCCCTCAGATCTGGCCTACTTATGCTCAAGCTCTCCTGACCCCAGAATACTTTTATTTATGACAGAAAATTCATCTCCATGGCGACGCTCGGGGATCAGCAGCCCGAGACCAGGCTTCCTGCGCAGAGACGATGCGCAGTTTTCACAATCCAGCAGCGCCAGCCTCTCAGGCTCTGGGGGAGCACTGCGGTGGGAGCACATCAGGCCCCTCACCCTCACCCAGCGCTAACTGCACACAGATGTCCCCTCCCAAGGGTCGGGCAGCCTGAAGGAGCCACTGCTGGGCCCTCAGTCCACAGCTGCACACAGGGACCGGGTGCTTCTGAGACCATCTGCCACTGCCCATACAGAGAAGGGACCGGCGGGTGCCCCTTGTCACTTTTAGTGGGTGTCCAAGCTAGCTGTCCTCTCGGCTGCTCCCCACCGCCCTCCCCCCCCCCGCAACCGGCACCAACATCCACCCCTGACCAAGCATCTACTCACTCGTCCACTCACCTCCCCCGCTCCAGCATCTACCCAGCAGGCATCCACCACTCCTCTGTTTACCTCCATCCACGTGGCCTTGAGCCCTGCCGGCTTTGTCGCTAAGCATCGTCCTGGCCTCTTTCTGGGCGAGTCCTGTGAGGATGGCAGGCATGACTCACACAGCCGAAGGACTTGTGGACTGATGCACCTCACCCCCACTGCAGCCTGTGTCAGGGAGGGGCACTCTCCTTGAGCGCTGCAGGTGCTGAAGTGAAAGAGGAGGAATCTCACATCAGGCTGGGGGAGGGGTGGCAGAGACCTGTCTCAGGGGCAGGGACAAGAGTCTGAGGGGGAGGGGAGAGTGTCTGAGGGCAGGGGTGTCTGAGGGCAGAGGTAAGTGTCTGAGGGGCAGGGACAAGAGTCTGAGGGGCAGAGGTGAGTGTCTGAGGGACAGAGGTGAGTCTCTGAGGAGCATGGGCAAGTGTCTGAGGAGAGGGGTGTCTGGGGGGTAGGGGTGTCTGAGGGCAGAGGTGAGTGTCTGAGGAGCACCCGTGAGTGTCTGAGAGGCAGGGGCAAGTATCTGAGGGTAGGGGTGCCGGAGGGGCAGGGATGAGTGTCTGAGGGGCAGGGGTGAGTGT